ATTGGTTACCGACACTCACTTGTTTTTTCATTATTCACTGCTCTTGACAAGTTATTACTGATTTTCACTGCCAGCTCCCTACAGCAAGACCTGAAGCCTTGTCAAGGAAAGGAAAATGTCAACACAGTTCTCAGTCTTGCTCTGCTGAAACCCAGGCTCACGTTTTAGGATATTAATCTATGAGCATTAAAGAAACAGTATGTCCTTTCTCTAAAGCACAGGCCCTATATGCTGCACTGATCCAGAAAATGTCACATATATGCATGTGTGTGGGAGATGGGAGAAGGTATCGCTGGTCAAGAAGACTCTTCTTGTCTTCTGCCTAGAGACAAGAGAGATGCTTTCAGTGACATCCCCCTGTTGTTACAAAGTCCTCTCTGATCAGCAGCGTTGTGCTAATCCAGGCAGCCAAGCAGAAATGGTTGGTATGTTCTGCTCTCTTTTCCTCCCTTTTCAGTGTGCACTTTCCAGAGCCACCCTTGCCTGCCTATGACAATGTAGAGCTGAACTCAGGACTCTGAGCGGTTAGTCTCCTTCTGCAGAGTCAGCAGAGCAGAACATAGACTGAAACAAGAGTCTGCAGTCTGCCCATGTGGAACACTAGACCAGGGCTGAGCCTGGCGAATGCTTCCAATCGAGCCTAATCCAGAAGCAGGCATTGTAGTGCTGACTATGACCTGCCAGGCTGTGTGTCACTTACCATGTGGCAGAGTGACAAGTCCCATGTGGCATTTCCACTGAGCTGACAGCCAGAGTATGCAACTTAGTCCAGTCCACCCTGCTCCCTGGGGAGGGGTATACGACACTGACCTCAATTTAAAGACAGGACAAATGTCACAGCCCCTGAGTCAGCCCTGTCTAAATATTCTAAATTATACATAGTGACAGCTGCTCCTCCTAGAAACCCGATTTAGTCATTTGGCTACAAGATAGCTTGATTGCATGAGAGAATAAGAGGAAGGCATCACATCTACTATTTTCTTCTGTGTGCATATTTCATTATTGCAAAAACTGTTTAGAATACTTCTCAAGAAAATTGGAAAATATATTTAAATGCCAAAAATTTGAACTGTATTTTAATATAAAAAAATAAATTAAAAAGCAGAAAGCCCGAATCAAACAACATACACACTAAAATTCACAAATCTGATTCAGAAGGCTTCAAGTTCAAGAAAGAGCTAAATGTTTGACAAAGCACGGAGTATGAGTTCCCTCTTTCCAAATAGGCTTAATTGCAAATGAAACCAAGTAGTTAAGATGTCTCATGCACATTCAATTCTCATTTTCAATACTCCTCTGTATGTAGCCCATCATCTTTCTGGGTGTTCAATGAAGATACACCTTGATTTGTTAGTTATTAGACATTTTTTTCCTATAATTTCAGCATGATAGTCCTTCAGGGATTCATTTTGCTAGGTGCTATAGCATTTAAATGTTTCTTCACCCTGGAGAAGCCATTTTCTGAGCCATACCTGTTAATTGCTTTGTCCTGCTCTCCCACAAGCCCTGATTCCTAGTCACCTCTTGAGTGATTAGTTTTCTTTTTGTTTTTAAAATTATATTTTATTGATTATGTGATTACAGTTGTCCTGGTTTTTCTCCCCTGCACCCCTCATTCCCTTGGGCAATCCTCCACCATTGTTCATGTCCATGGGTCATGCATATAAATTCTTTGGCTATTCCATTTTCTATACTGTACTTTACATCCCCATGGTTATTCTGTAGCTACCTGTTTGTACTTCTCATTACCCTCACCTCTTCACCCATTTCCCCACACCTCCCTCCTACTGGGCAACCATCAAAACCCTCTCTCTATATATGATTCTGTCTCTGTTCTTCTTCTTTCTTTTTTTTAGATTCAATTGTTGCTAGATTTATAATTTTTTGCCATTTTATTATTCATAGTTTTGATCTTCTTTTTCTTACATAAGTCCCTTTAACACTGCATATAATAATGGTTGGGTGATGATGAACTCTTTTAGTTTTTTCTTGTCTAGGAAGGTCTTTATATGTCCTTTGATTTTAAATGATAGCTTCACTGGGTAGAGCAATCTTGGCTGTAGGTCTTTGCTTTTCATGACTTTGAATATTTCTTGCCAGTCCTTCTAGCCTGCAAAGTTTTTTTTTTTTGGAGAAATCAGCTGACAGTTTTATGGGAACTCCCCTGCATGTAACTAGCTGCTTTTCTTTTGCTGCTTTTAAGATTCTTTCTTTATCTTCAACCTTTGGCATTTTAATTATGATGTGTCTTGGAGTGGGCCTTTTTGCATCCATCTTGTTTGGAACACTCTGTGCTGCCTAGAATTGCATGTATATTTCCTTCACCAAATTAGGAAAGTTTTGTTTCATTCTTTTTTTCAGATAGATTTCCAATTTCTTGCTCTTTCTCTTCTCCTTCTGGCATCCCTATGATGCAAATGTTGAAATGCTTGAAGTTATCCTAGAGGCTATCCTTTTTTGGGGGATTCTTTTGTATTCTTATAGTTCTCATTGGTCATTTCTTGCTTCCTTATGTTTCAAATCAGTGATTTGATTGTAGGCTTCATCCACTTTACCATTGTTTCCCTGTAAATTGTTCTTTCTTTCAATTAGTGAATCCTTTGTTTCTGAGTGGATCTTTTCTATGCTGTTGTGGTCCTCACTAAGTTCCTTGAGCATCCTTATAAGCACTGTTTTGAACTCTGCATCTGATAGATTGCTTATCTCCATTTCATGTAGCTTTTTTTCTGGAGTTTTGTTATGTTCTTTCATTTGGGCCACATTGCTTTATCTCCTCATTTTGGCAGCCTTCCTGTGTTCGTTTCTATATATTAGGCAGAGCTGCTATGACTTCCTATGACTCCCTGTTGGTTGAGTGGCCTAATGTAGTAAGTGTTTTGTAGGATTCAGTGGCACAGCCTCCCCTATCATCAAGCTGAGTACTCAAGGTGCACCCCATGTGTGAGCTGAGTACACCCTCCTCTTGTAATTGAGCCTTGGTTGCTGTTGGCAGATCAATAGGAGGGATTAACCCAGGCCAATCGGCTGCAAGGATTGGCTATGACCACTGACTACCAACCTCTGCCCTCAGTGGAGGATCAGCTGTGCAGGGGCAGGTGGCAGCATATATGCAGTGGTGCTCTGATGTGGTCTGTAGCTGTCCACTGGGTGGGCTGGCCCTGGGATTTCCTGGGTGGTGCAGGCTGAAGTCAGCCCCCATATGTGTTTTGCCCTGCCTGAGATACAAAGCAATCTATGATGGCTGCTACTTGTGCTGAACTTGGCGATTCTCAGGTAAAGCCGAGTTGTAAATCTAGGCTGACTGCTGCTAATGCTGGGCTTAGGGCTCACTGAGGCCAGCTGTTGCTTGTTTGAGAGGATTCAGGAAGTTGTTAAACAGGAGCCAAGACCAGCCATTCATATGGAAAAGCAGCTTGAGTAGACCTATAAGTTGGGTGGGGCCATAAATTGGGTGCGGCAGAGTCTCTGGGGATCTCCAAGGCAAGTCAAGTAGTATTAGCCAGATTGGTGGAGTCTCAAATATGACACCAGCTTACTGGCTCAGTCTGAATGGATGTGGCTTCTTTAATTCCATAGTTGTCAGAATTCCATTCAACTCGATTTCTGATGGTTCTGAGTGATGGTTGTTCTATATTTTAGTTATAATTTTAATGTGGTTATATACAGAGGCAAGCCATGTCTACACTGCCATCTTGAACGGAAGTCAGGGATTAGTTTTCTTAGTCAATGCAAATCATACTCTAAATTATTTCAATGCCTGATAAGTGGTAGATGTTCTAAAAATAAAGGGCTAGGAGGCAAAGTGCACTATTGTTCTGCTTCCTAATTTAGCACAGTCATTCCCAGAGGAACTGTGCCACTGTAACCAGCAACAGCTGCCCAGAAGTATTTATGTTAAGCCATCCAAAAATCTGGTTTGGCAACCAAAGCTGAGAGGAGAGAACGTGCCTCCAGGCTGGTCGTTTATTAAGGGCTCCAGGTGCTCACACTGCTGCCCGAAGGCATTGAGGTTCTGTCCAAATTTAGAACAAGGGGCTGTGCAGTTTGGAAAGTCAATTATGTCCCTTCCTCATTTTACACTCAGGATAGTTCCGGCTGTGAGCAATGCCTGTATCTAACCAACACTGATTGAATAAGGAAGGAAACCTGTTGATATGAAAAAGGGTGTTGAAATATTTTGAATTCTTTGCAATTAAAACTGCCTGTCAACATCCTGTTTAACCTCCTGGACATATCAGGCTGATCAGGACAATTGTCTGGGCTTCAGGGCTTGATTTCAGAGTTTCTACTCAGATTTGGTGGGAAATGTCTCCTATGTCCTCCTCCCTGTGTCCGTGTCCTTGGTTGGCACTTTCACCTTCCGCAGTCATCCTCCTTCCCCACACTCAGAGGCCCTTACTTTCTCATCTGGGTCTGCACACCCTTTCTGGTTCTAGAACTACAGAGTAACAGGTGTGTTACTACAGGTGTATTCCTTTGCTGGGGAGATGTGCTCTAAATTCATTCATTTTCCAAGGGCGAAAATCGAAAATGTGCCCTCAATTCCCAAGAAGACCAGTGTGGGTTCAAAGTTATGTGGATGCCAGGGGTCCAGTGGTCTGGGAGCTGGGAAGTGATACCAGGAGCCTGACCAGAGCAGGTCTCCACCACCACCCTGGCCCACAGGCTTCCCTCACCACAAAGAGGCAGATCAACATTTAGAATATATGCAGAAAAGGGTGGTGGAAGAAGGGATTTCTTGCATATGTATCTGGATCTGTGGTAGAAAGAGTGTGGACTCAGACTGGTACCCGCCAGCGTCCATGCACTGAACTGGTGGCCAGCCATGCTCGTCTGGGACGAGGAACCTGGGTGAATGGGAGGGCTGGGTCAGAAGGCACCTAGGAAGGTACGGGAGATGCTGTTGGGCGCCGATGGTTTGCCCCACTGGGAAGGTGGCGAAGGGGTTCAAATCAACGTTCTCAGGTTTCCCACCCAGATACACATATTTGTGACTTCAGTGCGGTCAAGAAGTTTATGCCAACTTCATACAAACAAAACAGAAAACAAAGCAAGACAGCAACTTTCCCTAAAGGGAAGTCTACATGTTGCCCCGTGGACTTAATCTGTGAAGTAACAAAACAAGAAGCGAGGGTGTCCCGGCTCCCCTGTCACAAGGTAGGTTTCTCACGCAACATAAGACTCTTTTATCTTTGCTCACAGAACAACTTGTACTGATGTTTAAATATCGGTGTGACATAATGTTTTTAATTTCACACTTCACAGAGCACAGCTGAACGCTTCATAACAAGGTAAACAAAGATTAGGCCGAGCACTGCAGACAAACGGGGAGGGAGAAATGGCTTCCCCGTGGTACGCACCCCGGGTTTGCGTGGGAATATAACTAACAAACTGGTTGGCTAAGGCCACAGAAATGTGTTTTCCCATGTTTTGGCTGCTGACACCAGTCTCTTCTGACAAAGACATGTTCACAATGAGTACAACAAATTGCATCTTTTTCCTAGCCTCAGTCAGGAAAACTTGACTCTTATTTCTGCCTCGATTTCTTTTTGGTGGTGTCATAAGCACGAACAATTTCTTCCTGAGTGACAGCTCCATGCTCTTCTTGAGAGAAGGCGTACCCATCTGAAAGAAGCACAGAGGAGGACGTGGTTAAGAGCAGCGTCAGGGGAGTGCACTAGGTTGGGAAGAAACTGCTTTGGGGGAGCCTATTCCGAACTTCCATACCCCCGGTGGGGGCCTGAGATGGGTAGCTTGTGACCCAGATGGGAAGCGTGGGCAGGGTGGGTGTGATGGCAGGACACAGCCTGTGGGTCGGGTCTCAGGGGTTCTGGCTGCTGATGCTGGATGGGAGTGGCTCTGAGGGGCGGCCTCTCATGTAGGGGCCTGTAGCCGAGTTCAGCCTGGGAAGCATAAACAGCGGGTCAGTGGTCCATGTCTGCACTTTCCCACCACCAATCAAGTTGTTCTGCTCCAGAAATGTCCCAATGTGCCTGAAGCTGCAGGCCGGCTGGGTAGTTTATGAAGCTGTAAACACACTGGGAAAAACATGCACACGCTAATAGTGAAAGATGGCAAAGGGCACGTGATGCTTGGAGAGTTCCTGTTTTTAAATTGGGCTGATTGGGGCTGGTAATAAGAAATTACTGTGGGTTTATTTTTGTGTAAACCAAGAAAAAGATCACAAGATAAAATCAAGAGGCCACAAGAAGGCCTTGTGGCCAGAAGAAGACTGGTTCTTATGACCCGTTGCAGTGGTAGTAGTAGCAGCAACAGACAATTATTACATGCTGTGTGTACAGGTACTGTCCTGTGTACTGTGCACAAATGCCTTACTTATTCCCCTCAACAGCCCTATAAGATAGGTGCTAGTATATTTCCCATTTCACAGATGGGAAAACTGAGGCATGGGGCAACTTCATGATCTGCCCAAGGTCCCAGACCTAGTGAGTGGCAGAATTTAGAGCCAGACCCAATCAGCATTTCTGCAGGGCCCACATTCTCCTGCATCGCCAGATCTGGAAAAGGTTTCATTTCAGTGAGCCCAAACCGGGGCTTTCCTTCCTAACTGGTTCTTCTCACAGATGGGATACTCGCCAGACTCTCTCTCTATTGGCTCACCCCCCTGGATGAGACATTCTGACCAAAGACAACACAGTGAAAAGGCTGACAGTGGTGACCCTGCCTATGCATACACTTGTGACTAATTGAGAGCTGCTAGTTAACTGTCATAGTCTTCAAAGGAGAAAAATCAATCAGAAATTCTGCCCATGGATCATCTCCTGGACTGTTAATTATTTTACTCAGATCTCTGGCTTAAAAAGAAGAGTTTCTGGGGGATAAAGACGTATAACAACAGTGCATAAGAGTCTTTGAGGGGACGGAGAAGAAGAGAGTTCAGAAGAGTCTCAGGTAACTTCTCACTCTGTAGATGCCTGTAAACTCGGAGCTCCTGTCCCTGGGCTGGCTTCCCAGTTCTTCTAGAGAGCACGCCTTTCAGCCTCCTGCTGAGGAAACCCAAGGGCTCAGAAGGGCCACCCAGGAGGCCAGAGCTGGTCTCCAGAGGTGGGCTGGGGCCAACTGAGGACATGGCTGAGCAGCAGGGGGTAGGGGGGGGTAAGGAAAGGGGGACGAGCCAGCCAGCCTGACCCAGAACCTAGGGCAATCTTCCACAGGGAACTCTTGTCTGCTCACCAACTAAATTGCTAATGGAATCAAACCCACAAACCCCAAAATCCCACCCTGCATGGTAGCCAGAGAAAGCAGCCGCCCCCAGGCCATCGTGAGCCCCGCCTAGCAGGACACTGAGCAGGCGTGTCTGGAGCAGAAAGGCAGAAGCAAGCCTGGAGAGGGGGCTGTGGGCTCGTTCAGGCCCTGGCCCCAGCACACTTGAACTTCCTCACCATGGATTTCCACACAAGGAAGCTTTGCTTTCAGTCTCACTGCCTTGGAGGCTGCACAGAATCTGAAGAGGAAACGCCCTGTGATCCTGTTTCCCTGGTAACCCGTAGATTCTCCCAGGCTGCTTGATCCGAGATGAACAGCTCCAAGGAATCCTCCCTAACGCCCGGCTCTGGGGGGGGCTCCTCTCCTGCTCCCCCCCTCCCAGAGCCGGCTGCCGGCCCGTCCAGGCACACGTGCCCTTTGTGCAGCATCTTCACTGCGGTCCTAGAAGAGACGCCTTTCCTTGGGATGTTTCAAAGGAAAATCTAGCCAATAACATCGTCTCCTCTGATGACAAGACTGAGAACTGTGGTCAACGTGGGCAGCTGGCGCTCTGGTGAAGGCCTGATGTGTTGGGAGGGGCCCCACCGCAGTTGTCTCTGGGTCTCCTGTGCCGCTGCAGTGACGGTCCTGCCACCCCAGGCAGACACCTGTGGCCCGGACAGAAATGGCTCTGGTCCCAGCAGTGGGAGCACTTAGTAAGTGCTCTGTTTGAATGCTTCTGGGGCGGGGTGGACTCCTGAGCCTTTCGCCCTGAAGTCGGCTTCCCAACTTCCTCCGTCTTCATCATGGATTTGGCTGCCCACAGCAGAGGCACTGGGGGCAAGAAGGGCTGGTTGTAGTCCCTGCTTGGCAGTAACTCAGCCACAGGACCATGAGCTCTTTAAGCTCTCTGGGTCTCCTTGGTTTACTTTTCTGTAAAAACAAAAAAACAAAAAAAAAACCGGCCTGGACCAGGTGAGGTCCAGCTTCTCACAGCTCTGGTCCTCCATGTGGGCACTGGTGTTGTCCCAGCTAGCCGTCCCCAGGCCACAGCACCCTTGCCTCTGCTCAGGGCTCACTCACACTAGGCAACAGTGGCGGCGTCCTCTACCTCCACGCCAGAACAGAAAGGCGCCTGTCTCAACCGTCAGTCCCAGTAGAAAATTGCTACCACCTCCTGGATGTGGGTTTTTTTTTGGGGGGGAGGGGGTCGAGGGGTAAGGGGTGGAGGGGAAGGAATAAAAAGAACTCGTTGAGACAGAAACATTGTTTCGGAGTGTCTTTTCGGGAAAGGCAACTTTAGCACTGGAGTTGTCCATTCCCTCTCATTTACTCTGTCTTCCACTCGGGTCTGCCTGTGCCAACCAGGGAGCCGGCGGCCGCGGTTTCTTCTGCTTGTAGTGGGACAGCGCCCTCGGCTTCTGTCTGCCTCGCCGGCTCGGGGACTTCTGGTGGGACCCCGCGGCCCCTCTCCCCAGCAGCAGAGATGGCACAGAGAGGCTCCTGGTCCAACACTGAGTCTCTTGCCTCAGGGAAAGCAGAGCAGCCAAAGGTCACTGCCAAGTTGATTCTCTGCCAGTTCCCGTCCCTTGTATCTGCCATCATGTTTCCAAAATGTTATAGACTGAGACTTTCTGAACCTCAGCTGGGACTGAAAGTGGACTTTGTAATTCAAGAATAAAGGACGGCCCGACAGCATTATCCAAGGGTGCAGGTATGTCCCTGGCTCACGTAAAATATCCAGGTGGGGGTCAGAGTGGTAATGGAAGATGTTTTAGTGGGACAATAGCATTTGTGAGCCCCAAGTGGGGCCTGCACCCGTCAGCCAGTCAGAGACACAGCGTCAGTTCACCAGCTTCTGCCTGACGATTGTCTAACTGCCCTTGGCATCCAAACAGGGGGCTCACAGAGGAAACTTCTGGCTCTTAGCATTTCCCACTTCCTCGCATCTTTCAGGAAGTCCTGACGGCCACAAAGTACAGACGGGGCCTGGAGAAAGCTCTCAACTTGAACTCTCCCTGGCTGGCCTTCTACCATGTCTGCCTCCTAAGTCCTCGGCCACAGCCAGAATCTGGGGACAAAATGGGGTGGGTGAAAGGCGATGAAGGGGTAGGTGAATTTCTTGGTTATTTTGACTAGTCCTGGTAGAACATTTGGTGATGTCTATAGAACCATGTGGCCTGCCCTCATTATTATGGAATAAAACTTCCTTTAAGTTGTATCCTTTTGAATTTGAGCTCTTATAACATCTTAATGAAAGTAGCAGCTTCCTGTCTAGAAGAATATTCCTAACAGCAGGAGAGACAGGGAATACGGAGGGATGACAAGGGCATTAGACCATGCAGGACACTCTGACCTACCTCCCTTATTGCACGTACCGTGTTGGTGGCTCATGAGAAACTAAAAGTACTTCCAAGACTGGAGTATTTTTCCAGTTTCCTGGGAAGGCTGAGGCCCACGACAGCTGGAGGACAGACCCGGCAGGACATCAGGGCCCAGAGCAGCTGCGAAGGGCTTCCCCCACACATGGAGCCGTAAGAGCTGCTGGATGAGCCGCCCTCTCTAGTTGCTAATGACAGGGACAGTCTATGGTCAGCCAGGTTCCTACTACCCATTTCTGGGTGTTTTTAAAATGTAGTGTGATTTTAGAAGCTTTTTGATTTCTTGTACTTGTTCATTAGAATTTTTTTGTCTTTCAAAATGTTGCAATTTAAGCAAAATGTTTAGTTGTCGTCTTAAGACTTTGTATGACTCTCCCACTTGGTTTTTGATCTGCACAGTCGACTCGTGAACGACATAGGTTTGAATTGGGTGGGTCCGTTTATGTGTAAGTTTTTCAGTACACACTGTAAATGCATTTTCTCTTCTTTATGACTTTGTTAACACTATTTTCTTTCTCTACTTTGTCTAAGACCACAGCATCTAATACATAGAACATATAAAATATGTGTTAATCAACTGTTTACCCTACCACTAAGGCTTCTGCTCAACAATAGGCTATAAGTTTTGGATGAGCCAAAAGATACAGGCGAATTTTTAGCTGGGGCCAGCACCCCTAACACCTTCAACGTCAGGGCCGACTGCGCACACAGCGCACTGCACGTGCTCTTCCTGCGGTCGCTGGGAGACCAGGGTCAGAGGAGCAGCGCCCCGCGTGCAGGGGCGGGTTAGAAGCCAGTGTGCGTTTTCTTGGTGTCTTGCATGTACGTTATCGTGAAGCCTCGCCTGGACTAAGAGAGCTTATTATTATTATTATAATTCTCCTTTCCCCCCAGAGGATAAAACAAAAACTTAGAGAAACATCTAAGTTACCCAAACTGACTCAGCTAGTGGCAGAAAAAAAATATATAACTAATACCTAACATTTATTGGACTCTGTGTTGTCAGGCATTATTCTAGGCTCTTTACGATCTCACTTAACCCTCCCAACAACCCCAGGTGAGTCATCTCCATTCTACAGACGTGGAAACAGAGAAGTTAACTTGCCTAAGGTCACAGAAGGGTGGCCAGGCCAGGGCAGGAGGCCAGGCAGCTCGGCCCCAGAAGCTGAGCCCTGACCCTCTCTCCGCGATCTTCCCCAGAAAGCCTCCTGACTTGACCTGTCTCTCAGGTCAGAGACACCACAACTGCATTCCGCGATCCCTATTGCTGGGCCACGCTGGGCCAGCTACTGTACTGACCTGAGCCTCTGCCAGGTGCTCTTGAGGCTGACACCACCCACCTCCTAGGGCCAAGGAGCATTAAAGGACACACCAAGCAAGTGAGACCCCACATGCAGCTGGCCTCAGTCCCCTTTCTCTCATGTTGCTGTTCCGGTGGGAAAGGGAAAAGAGGAAGTGGATTACTGAGAAGGGATACTATCCCACGCCTCTCCCTTTCTCTCCATTGAGAAAGTCGGCAAAGATCTGCTGATCAGTGGAGCTCAATTAAACTTGACATAGGTCCTTGATTACATGTCCTATGGTACAATGATTATTCTCTCTAAACTGCTCTTGGTCTACGAGTTGTTTCTTTCTCACCTTCTTGGGGATAGAAAGGGAAGCAGGAACGGGGGCAGGGGCTGAAGAGATGACGGCGATGACGTGTACGTGTGTAAGAGAGGGAGTGCGGGCTGGAGAGAGAGGAGGGGTTCAGGGAGGCAGGGGCCAATGGGCCTACAGGCCCCAGCATGAATTGAACTTGCACTTCTAATGACGCCCCTCAGCTGGGAGCTGAACGGCTGGATTGCTCAGGTCAGCCCCCGGCAGCCCCACGAGTGCCGGCACCCCATCTGCCTTTCATGGCCTCCCCTCCCGGCTCCTCTGGGTTCCGGCGCACCCCCGGACCCCCTGCTCAGGTCAGGCCCCCTCAGCGGAAACCAGGCCGAGGCTTTAGCATTCAGAGTGGGGACACTGGTACTAGATACCCAGCTGCATTCCTGAGAAAAGCACAGAGATTTTTTTTTTACCAGTGATTGGCATCGTTTTAATTAATATACTAATATTAGATAAAACCCTGCATGTTGCTATCTTTGGGGAAACAATTTAAAAGTAGTATCACTTCAACCTTAGAAAAAGTGCTGTTGGGAGGCTGACAGAGGATCTTACCCACATCAGGATTTTAAGTTTAAGGATTTTGTCATTCAGGCATTTGATTGGGTCCCAAGGAACTACCCATATTTGAGCTGTACTTGCCTCAGGCCAAACACACAAATTTCCCTTCCAAACGTGGGGCTCCAGCTTGGCAGCTGTCTCCATCCCCATTAACAACATCCAGGCCTTCATTAAGCTGCCCGCGCCCCTGCGTGGGCCGGGTCTTGCAGCCTGAGTGGGCTGGCGTGACTACTTACGTGGAACGCTCTGCCGGAGGGAACTCCCACGGAAGAGAGTGGGGGGCGTCTTCCTGCTGAGCCTCTTTAACAAGCGGTCCCGCTCATTCATCCTGCAGGTAAATCAAACGCGGTCAGCCTCTAACTCACAAGGACACGTCTCAAAGGGACTCGCTGCATGACTTCAGGTTGTAAAATAAAACAGACAGGGAGAAAAAGCTTCCTTCCCCACGTCAAGAAAAATCTCCAGTTTCGCAAGCCTGCCCGCTGTTGACTGTAGATGCTATCTTGACACTTGGAGGGCATGGCTCTCGCTTCTAAAAGGCACTCTGTGTTCAGCCCGTCCTGTACACAACGCCTCTGAACTCTGCCTTCCTCTTAATGGAAGTGCACTACAAGTGCCCTTTCATACCAGGCAAATCCTTGGCGTCCCACAACACTTTTGAAGGAGTGATCTGTTTCTGTGGTAAACGTCTTAAAAGCCTCAACCCCACCTGCAGCCGCCTTTCCTCAAGCCAGTAACCGGTACCCGGGCCGGAGCCTCGCCCAGGTGCCTCAGGACCCCAGCGAGAGCCGGGCTTCTCTCCACAGAACCCAATGTTTGTTCTGAACCACAATAAAAATCAAGGCGAGTTTTCTTTGAAAACATGAGGCTTAGGCACTCTTCCTGCCTCTCCTGAAATTATTTCCTCCCAGGTTGTCACAGCTGTGAACAGATATGAAGCTATCCTGGAGGACAGCTGTCTTCATTCCTATACACTGCAGTGAGTGCTTGAAAACTGTCCGGCTGGACAAAGTGCTTCGATTTTTTGCCATCAGTGTGCCACTCCGCTTGCTCCCAGTGAGATTTCTGGTGTACAGGAGTCTGCCCCTGCCCCCCCCCATCACAGGGGGAGCTGCGTCCCTCCCACCCACATTCACGAGTTAAAGTCCTAACCCCCAGTGCTGCAGAATGTGACTGTATTAAAAGACAGGATCTTTAAAGAGGCGATTGCATTTAAATGGTCATTAGGATAGGCCTGAATCCAGTATGACTGGTGTCCTCATGAGGAAAGGGGACCGGGACGCAGACACAGGCAGAGGAACAAGCACGTGAAGACAATGGAAGAAGAAGAACATCTACAAGCTAAGGAGAGAGGTCTCAGGAGGAACCAACCCTGACGACACCTCGGTCTTGGGCTTATAGCCTCCACAACCCTGAGGCAATAACTTTTGTGTAAGCAACTCCAGTCGGCGGTACTTTAATGGCAGCCAATACGCCCCCAATCTGCCGTTTGTGGGCACTGGGGGATTGTTTAAGGAACTGCAGTTGCTTGGGATCCAAAGCACCTCCCCCCACTCCCTGGCCACAGTCCACTTCAGGACTCCCCCAAGGTCCTTTGAAAGAGAAGCAGGACCCTGGGTATTCTCAACAGTTTCATGAGCTGAAAGCTCATTTTGTGCTTGGGTTTCCAGAAGAGAGCACTTTCTGGACCTCTTGGTGGAAAGGACAATGTTTGCTGCACCACCAGTTAAGGGGGAGCCTGAGCTGGCTGAGCTGGGCCAAGTGTCTGACGGCTTATGAGAAAAAACCACCTTTCCTGTCCCTCCATGCCGTCTTCCCTTCCCTCTCACGTCTTTTCCCCGACAGGCAAATCAATCTCACCAGGCCCTGCTGAGCAACTGCCCTGAACTGCGGGGCTGAATAGATGCAGGGGGCAGTGGGGTGGCTGTGAGTAGGAAGTCCCTCTGTGTGGCCGCTGTTGCCTGACCACCCGCGATGCCCTGTGATGGCTGGCTTCAGGACTTCGGGCACTCCCCGAAGGGCCATCCTTCCTGTCTGACCCTGGAAGGCACTGTGTGTAGAATCGCTCCCTGAGGGTCGGAACGCAGGTTCCTGGGGCACCCTTCCTGGCCTTCCTGGTTGACAAGGCACTGTCTTCCCAGAAACCTGGGGGACAGATGCGGGCTAGGCTCTGCCACCAGGCCCCTCCTCTGCCCTGGCCATCCCTGGTTCCCCTGGCACTTCGGGTCCAGGAGCTCCTCCTAGTAATGGGGCTCCTGAGACTTCACAGAACCATGTTAGCGGGAAGCGCCTTTGAAATCCCACATCTTGCTCTCTCACTGGGCAGGTGAGGAAACAGACTCAGCTGCTTCGAAGCAAAAGCTCCGGGGGCACTTTGCTGGCAAGGCCCTTGCCCCTGCCTCTACGCTAGACAGACATTCCCAATTCCCTCATGGAATGGTGTATGCTTTTCTCTTTTTATTTTGTTTAATAATAAAATATTCCAAACACACAGAAACAGTCAGAAACCAGTACAGAGCGTGTGCACTACCCACTTGGCTTTAGCAAACGACATCACAGCTCTTAGGCCCCGTGCTTCATAGGGACCCACTCCATCCTGCAGCCCTCTCTCCCATGTGCTGAGGGGTCCATGGGGCCAAGCAGACTGCTCTACTCAGAGCCCATGCCTGTCCCCGAACTCCAGGTATTTGGGACCCTAGAAGTCCCTGCTCAGTGACCTCCAAACTGGCACCCACAGCTAACCTGACCTCTGCTAGTTGCACTCTCCTTAAAAGTAGGCCTTATAACCAGTGTCCACACTCCCAGGCCTGTATAGGGCGGCCAGGGTGGTTTCCTGCATGAGGTGCATGTGCACATGCCCCTGCCCAGTGCAGGGCAGAGCTGGGCCTGGCAAGGGGGGGGAAGTGCACAAGACAGCAGCTCTTCCCCTGGTCACCACTTTCTGGCTCAGACCTTCAAAGAATCTGGGACTCAGCAAGCACTGCCATCTTTATGAAGGTAATTCATCAAGGTGCACAGGTAGCTGTAGTTAATTTATAACTTGCACATACTTAGACGTGGTGTTTGCTCTTAGGGCCTGGTTGGGAGAGCTACTTCGGATTATTATTATTTTTTATTGATTTATTTGAGAGAGGGAGGAAGGGAGAGGGAGAGGGAGAGCGGGGAAGAGAGGAAGAGAGAAAGAGAGAGACATGATTTGTTGTTCCATTTACTCATGCATTCATTTGGTGATTCTTGAATGTGTTTTGACCAGGGATTGAACTCACAACCCTGGCATATCTGAACAATGTTCTAACCAACTGAGCTACCCAATCAGGGCAGAACTACTTCAGATTCTAACAAAATAATGAAATATCAAATATAAAGTTCCCTTAGACTCCCTCTGATTCCCTTCTTCTCTCTTCCACTATAATAAAGTTAGAAATCATCTTTTGTTCATATCTCACACTTTTGTTCTATATATATGTGTATGCATTCACATTAATATATAATTATGTTTTAAAATACGTCTAAATTGAATCACTTAGTTTATGCTCCCAGTTTATCACATTTTTGCTCTGCTCCTTCCTTTCTCCTTTCTTGTTTACTTTGCACTGTCTACTCAGGTAGAGGACAAGTTAATCTGTTTTTTCTTCTGGACGCGTTTATAATTCTCTTTGTCTTTGGTGTTGTACAGTCTCATTACAACGCTCAGTATGACAAGGTGCAGTTTTGTTTTTATACCCTGCTCGTCAGTCATTCAGAAAATGCAAATCAAAGAGACAGCATTCAACATCTGCTAGGATGGCTATAACGAAAAAGAAATAGAGGCAGAACATAACACTGGGTGGATGCAGGGTAACTGCAGCCCTAGCACATGACTGGCGGGGCTGTGAATCGGTGCAGCCACTGTTCTTCAGTCAGGTCCACATGGAGCTACTGTGTCAGCCAGAAATTCCACGCCCAGGCATATACCCAAAAGAGTTATAAGCAGCCCCAAACAGATACTAGTACACCGACATGTGAAGCAGCATTCAGAGAGCCAGGAGATGGAAACAGCCTGAATGTCTATCAGTAGAAAAACAAAATGTGCAGCCACGAACAGGAAGGAAGTACTGATGTACGCGACACACGGGTGAGCCTCGAGAACGTTACGTGAAAGAAGCCGAAGCAAACAGGCCATGTATTGCATGATGCCATTCATAGAAAGTGTCCAGACTGGGACATTTCCTATAAATGTCCTATAAATGTGCATATAACTGCGGAGACAGAAAGAAGAACAGGGTCGTTAGGGACTGTCGGGGAAAGACTGCTTCAAGTGCACGTGGCTGCCTCTCAGGGAGATGAGTGTGTTCTAGGACTAGACAGTGGTGACGGCTCCAGGACACTGTGAGTGTGCTTAATGCCCCCGAATTGCACACTCTAATAGTGAATTTTATGTGTGTGAATGTGAATTTACCACTGTTTTTAAAAAAGTTCAATTAAAAAACAAAAAGGAGGAGGACAGCATCTTGAATTAAGGGCCACTCCCTCCCCTCACCTGAACTGTGGGCTTGTCTTTCCCGTGGGGGTGGGGTGTTAGGGCTGAATGGCTCTCCCTGGCTTTTCCCTCTCCTAGCTTTGCAGGTATGCTTCCGACGGGCACCTGCAGACATGAAAGGTGCACATACACAAAAACTCCCCAGAGGGTCCCGAGCTCTTGGTGCCTGCCTGGTGGTGATGACGAAACTCAGTCTAACACATCCCCACCCCAGGCTGTGCTCGGGAGCTGACACGGGGAGGTGGTGTGCCCCGTCCCAAACACTGCGCCGAAAGATGGAAACAACCTCCTTAAGAAGGAGCAGAGAGTCGAGATGCCTGTGTCGGGAAATGATAAACTCTTACATCCACAGTTCTGTCTGGAGGCTGTCCTGCAAAAATAGCACACGCTTAACGGCCAAAGCGCGGGAGCGTGGAGAATACGGCAGATGACTGCAGATCTGTTTTAAAATCTCGTCAGTAATTACAGCTGGTAGGACTCACAGCTGACACGTCAACAAACCCCAAAACAAATAGGTATTTTTCGAAGTTTATTTTAAAATCAATGCTGTACTACCTTCAAAACGTAAATCTGATGGGTCCCTCAAAAAAGCCCATCCAACATCCCCTGTCCTACAGGTAAAGCCAAACACCTACCGACCCATCAGAGGGTGGAAATCCTGGCCCATTTTTAAAGATCCCTAGAAAATGAGATTTCACAGCCTCAGTTGGTAACTTACCGTGCTAATTCTGATCTGAACATTAGAAAGTGAGAACCTTTTGGGCTCCTGTATATTCCAGAACTCCCTAGGCCTTTGTAGGATCAAAAAC